TGGATGAACCTGAAGGACATACAAAAAAATTAGTCTGATAGGTCAAAGCTGGTATCTTGGTGTGGTTTCCCCTGTATTTTCTTGATTACTAATGTTTTCCAAATGTTATTAATCTACATGTTTCTCAAACTGTTAAATTCCTGTTCATGGCTTTTGTCACTCTACACATTGGGCTCTCTTTTTCTTGGTGATTTATTCTCTAAATAGAAATATAGAGATAATTTGCTCCTGGACCTGAACCAAAAATCCAGAGTTTAACTAATTATGTAGCTTTACACACGTTACTTGATTCATCTGAATGTATTTCCTGTTCATCGAAAGCTGTCATGATGCTCGCTGTTCACGGGCAGACTGCACACAGAGTTAGACCAGTGCCAAACACAGGTGGACAAGTCAGTGAGGCTAATACCAGGGTGGATTTAAACACTAACAGGCACACGACAGAATAAATATTATTCCAGACATACATACAGTGAGTTAATATAAACTCATGCCATGAAGTGTGTTCCAACTCATAGTGACTCTCCACTGGGTTGCTGAGCTTGTAAATCTTAATGGAAAGTCTGAAGTCAAGAAGCACTCACTCCAAAAAAAAACAAAACAAAACAAAAAAAAAGAAGCACTCACTCCAAATTACTGAAGAGCAATGATGTTAGCTTGAGGACTAAGGTGCACCTGATTCAGATCATGGTCTTCTCAATAATTTGCTATGCACATGAGAGCTAGATAATGAATAAGGATGACAGAAGAAAAATTGATTTTTTTTTTGAATTGTGGTGTTGCAGGAGAGTACTGAATATCCCATGGACTTCCAAAAGAACAAACAGATGTATCTTGGAGAAGGTGAAGCCAGAGTGCTTCCTGGGCATGTTGCTAGGAGAGACTATCCTTTGGAGAAGGACATCATGTTTGGAAGGGCAGAGGGACACTGAAAAAGAGGAAGACCCTCAACTAGGTGGGCTGACACAGGGACTGCACTGCAGCAATGGGCTTGACTGTGTCAGATTGTGAGGTTGGCACAGGATAGGACAGGGTTCAGATCTGAGTTCATAGGGTCATTATGAGTCACACTCAACTCGAGGGCACCCAACAAAACAAATCTTTTTTTTTTTTAAGTGTGTGTGTGTGTGTGTGTGTACCATCAAATCAGATCCGACTGGTACAGGAAGAGATTGCCCCTCCTTATCCAGCAGAGCATCTGGTGGATTTGAACCATGTACTTCTGAGATTGCAGTGCAGCTTCTTGCCACTAGGCCACCAGAGCTCCCTAACAAGAACAAATCTTAATGGGAGGAGATTGTCCATCCATTTTCTTCAGAGCCACTAGTGAATCTGAACTATCAGAGACCCTTGCTAGGCCTTTTGGTGCATAGAGTAACATACTACAGACAACACCACCAGAGCTTATTACGTACGTACTTAATATAGAGAAACTGTTTATCAGCAAAGTCGTACAGTACAGAACTGAAGGTCAAGCAAGGGCTCCGGAGAGGCTCAGTCCACCCATACTGTAGCTGTGAACTTTTAGACAAGTAAACCCTCTTCAGCCCTCTACTTCCTCATCCGTGAAATGGAGATAATAACATTCTGTACTTCGTAGGTGTATTATAAGGATTAAGGGCGTAAACACACGTACAAAGCTCTCCGTGCACTAACTCAAAGATAATTTGAAATGGAATTTTCCCTAATATTTACCACACAAAGCATGTTTCCACAACATATAGAAAACACTGTTGCTTTCAATGAACTGTGTCTTAGATGAGAGATTTGCTTTGCAATTCATGAGAAACATAGATCAAGTACCCAATCCTGATTCCTCAGTGACCGTGTGACATGATTATGCATATAACCTACTTACCTGAGTGAATCACTGAAATAAATGCCACTCCCAAGATTGCCAAGGTCTGTTCGTTTCACACCATGATCTTCAATCACTTTTGGTAAAAGCAGCCCTCTGAAAAGAAATGGGTACTATCATGATGGCAGTTGAGAAAAGAATGTTTTTTAAATCTCAGTCTCTTACTTCTGCAAATTGTTGTCGTTGTTATTAGATGCCTTCGAGTCAGGTCTGACTCATAGCGACCCTCATAGCTATGAACAGCTAGCCTGAACCCTGCCCTATCTTGCACCATCCTCATCTCTGACACACCAGAGCCCACTGCTGAAGTCATCATGTCAATGCATATCATTGGGGGTCTTCAGATGCTTCCCATGAAATGAAAAGAAGATGCATACTAACATGAGGGAGATCCAGGGTTCACCAAAATGCAGCATGTTACGGCTGACTTCTCACCACCATCTTGACCAGCCATTTTTCTTGCCATTTTTAATAGTCTACCTACTTTAACCTAAAGCCTTCCTCATTAGCCCTACTTTGGGCAAAACAATGCTTTAAGGCCAACACTGACAGCATTTCTTCCTTCTCAAGCACTTATTCAAATCCCTGCTGGCCGTGTGCAATTCAAGAACTCTCTGTAATCAAAATGTAGACTATGCTATCTCTAGGAAGATGGAGTAAGGGAATGTTGTTTGTTATATAAAGATCTAGTCTATGTAATAAAAAGATTAATTGCATTAGGAAAACCTGCTGTCAGGGACCTCTGCAAAATACTGAGGAGCAATGATATCAGTCTAGAGACTAAGGTATGCCTGATCCAGACCATGGTCTTTGCAATTTCTTTCTATGCATCAGAGAATTGGACAATAACTAAGGATAACAGAAGAAAAATCAATGCCTGAGTTGTGGTGCTGGAGAATACCATGGATCGCCAAAAGAACAAACAGGTCTGTCTTGGAGAGGGTGAAACCAAGTTTCTCCTTGGAAGCTAGAATTTTGAAGCTCTATCTCACATACTTTGGGCACATGCCAGGAGGGACCAGTCTTTGGAGAAGGACATCTTGCTTGGAAAGGTAGAGGGATAGCACAGGATAGGAAGATCCCAGATGAGATGGATTGACATAGTAACTGGGGTAATGGGAGTAGGTAGGTCATAGTCAGTGAGACTGGGGCAGGAAAGCCGTTTTCAGAGCTATTGAACATAGGGTCGCTATGAGTCACAGGCAACTCAATTGCACATAATAACAACAACAACCATCTATCATTTGAATTTGTCTTATGAACTAGAGTTAATTTTGAAAATGTAAAGCAAAAAATGCTGACACTGATTTTTATAAAAAATATTTTCTGTGATTATTCACGCTTCCATAAAGTTCCACCCACATTTCCCTTCTCTCTTGACATAGCACCTTTATAAAAACAGAGATCTGGCCTGACTCTGTCACTGTTAATCGCATAGGTATCACTTTTCATGACACACCTTGAGACTTAGCACCTGTAAAATACCCAACCTTCACCACTACTAGCAGTTCCCAGAGAGCCCCTTTCTTCTTTACCAAACACCGTATTATATAATATTTCAAGCATACACAAAAGTAGAAAACATTACTGAATCCTGATGTACCCATTGCCCAGATTTACAGTGATCAATTTCCAGAAACATCACTTAAACATATCAGCAAGTATGCATGATTCTTTGAAGTGAATATTCCTTTGTATGGATGTATCAGAAATATCTGGACTATCCTCTGTTAATGGATTCAGAGCTGAAATTTACTAATACCAGAAACACTGCAATGGAAAAAAAATCTTAATGAAATGTTAGTTTTTTACATATCATATCCTTGTATGCTAAAATTCTTGATGGGTCACATATTAAGGGGTGCACAATAGTAACACATTTTTTGAAGCCATATTTATTCAAACTGGTTTATTAGTCTGTCACAAGGAATTGAAGAACCAATCAAAAACTATGTAAATGAAACCGGTAAATGTGGAATTGAAAAAAGGGAATTTCAGTAAATGGCTACATGCCAATAGATTTCATCACTCTGGTTCTACCATTTGATGAATGAGTCATACGGACTCCAAACTGGCAAACTCACTGGCAGCGAGCACTCAGGGAATGTTGAATATTATTACATTAGCCTTGTAGCTTTGCACCAATTTTCCTGCCCACAGTGTGGGAACGTGTGGAAATGTCTACCTCTCTTTGCCAACACACTGTATCATCAAATGATGAGTTTTTGCGACTCTAAGGGGTGGAAAATGTTATCACACTACAGTTTTACACCGTATTTAAAGTACTTTCTGGGATACTGGACATCCTTCCAAGTGTTTAAAAGTCATCTGTACTTCCTTTTCTGAAGTGTCTCTGCTTATTTTTCAATAGGATCATGAAGGTTGGGTTTTTGTTTATTTTCTTCCACTCTTCCTGGTTTGTGGTTTAGTTCATAAAGTCCTGGGCTGCCAAATGAGAGGGCAGTGGCCTAATCTACCTGCCATTCTAAGAGAGAAAGAGAGGCAACCTTCACCTTTACAGCCTCAGAGACCCAGTGGAGGAAAGTCAGCTGATTCTACTCCACTACAGTTGATCCAAGCTTGGAGGTTCACTTTCAGCCCCAAATTGAACACTCTTCTTGATTTCCAAGCACAGTTTATACATTATAGATATTAGCTTTTTTGTTGGAAAATATAGAGTACATATGTTTTTGCCAGTTTGTTATCTGTGTTTACCTTGCTATTTTAAACATATTTTGGGTTCACTGTCAAGCATACATACATAAAATAGAACAATAAGTATAAGAGCATACTGAAAGCCAGCTATAAGCCACATAGAAATTTTCTCTATCATTAGTTAATCTTTTCTGTAGGCCTTTTAGGTTTTGGACCTACTTTAAAGGGCATTCTTTTTTTTAAATTTTTTTTAATGGGCATTCTTGATCAAAGATTATTTTCAATGATACTGTCCTGTTTTTCAGCTAATATATTTTTGCTTTCATTTTTAATACTTTAATTTTTTCTCCATCTGAAGTTCATGTAAGTGCGAAGAGTCAGGTAAGGGGTTAAACATGGTATTTCACCAGGGACTAACCATATTATTAAAGGAAATACCTTTCTTCAGCAAAGATGAAGCTCCTTTTACCATATAGTTCCATTATGCTTTTGAGTTTATTGCTAGACTCTATTCTTTTTCTTTCATTTTTTTAAACTTTTTATTATTTTGTGTGGGTGTACCGTCAAATCGGATCTGACTGCTCCAGGAGGAGATTGCCCCTCCTTCTCCAGCAGAGCATCTGGTGGATTTGAACCGCATACCTCTGGGATTGTAGTGCAGCTTCTTGCCACTAGGCCACCAGGGCTCCCTAGACTCTATTACTAGACTCTATTCTAGTAGTTTACCTAATTATGTGATGCCTTGCTGTTTATAAAAGAAAAAAAAAACAACCCACAAAAACCTCCACACTGTCACCAAGTCAATTTTAATTCATGAACTTCTGATACTGTATATCAGAATATGTTATCATTCTTTGTTGAAGTGGCTGGTGTATTTAAATCCTTGACCTTTTGGTTAGCCACACAGCACATAACGCATCCTGTGCCAGCCAGGCTCTTAAAACAGCTTTGTTTTGATGTCTGATTGGTGAGTCCTCCCACCGTTTTCCATGTTTTAAAATTTTCTTTTTAGAATTTTCCAGGTAACTTAGAATTTTTAAAAAATACAATCAGCTTTGGACTTCTTTGAAAAGTAATCTTACTGATATTAGTGCTTTAAAAACACTAAATTAATGTAAGAAAAATGGACATAATTCTTTTTTTCAACATAATTCTGATTAAAGGAAGTGTTTTTTTAATGTCCCTCAGAAGCAGTTTAACATTTCCTTCAGATGGGTCCTAAATGTTTTCTTTAAAGTTTTTCCTCAGTATTTATCTGTTGTCAGTGTTGCTATGTCCCATCAAGCTGGAACTGACTCTTAGCTGACCCAGGTTAAAGACAGAGGAGACAGTCAATCTTTCTCCCAAGAAGTGGATTCGAATCACTTGCCTTTGGGTTGGACCCAAGAGGTTATCAGAATGTAAATGTAACCATATTTCTCGCAGCCCCCTGTGACTTCAGTTTCACCCTAAGATTAAGTAGTTAGTCATGAAAATTTGAGTTCTGGTTTAAGTAGACAGTTCACACAATCTGGGCATTCTCATTTTTAGACATTTCTCTTTAAGTATCAGCATATCCCTAGGTTAGATACGCATGGAAAAGTCATGAAATCCAGACAGGTTTCTTCATATATACTGTCTGTAATAAGCAATTCATATTTATGCTGTTCTTTTTTTTAAATTTTTTTTTAATTATTATTATTGTGTGAGTGTACCGTCAAATCAGATCTGACTGGTACAGGAGGAGATTGCCCCTCCTTCCCCGGCAGAGCATCTGGTGGATTCAAACTGTGCGCCTCTGGGATTGTAGTTGCAGCTCCTTGCCACTAGGCCACCAGAGCTCCCCTATATGCTGTTTTTCTTATGTGCTATCCAGTCGCTTGCGACTCATAGCGACCCTACGTACAAGAGCTCTATCTAAATGCTGTTCTATCCTGTGCCAACCTAGCCATCTCAAATGCACTTATTCCCACCGCTGCAGTCACAGAATCGATCCATCTCACCAAAGGTCTTCCTCTCCTTCGCTGCCCCTCCACTCTGCCAAACATGATGTCCCTCTCCAAGGACCAGTCCCTCCTTGCAACATGTACAAAATATGTCAGACGTACAACACTAAAATATATAATAATAAATTCATAAATTATATAACCTAAATAAAAAGTTGTGGGGTTTTTTTCCCCCTGACTACAGTAAGCTGGCTCATTTTAATGGTAAAGACTCACTTACTGTAAGGAAAAAAATTAGAGTAAAACACTTCAAATTCATGAGGATAAATATTAGATAACAAAGTTGGCGCATTCTTACCGAGAGAGGATTCCTACTACATTCCGTACAGAAGACCCGTGCAGTAAAGGCTTCACGTTGCCAAGTTTGCTCAGAAATTCTGTGGTTTCATTCACTCTGCCAACTCTAAAAATCTGCAAGATGTCCGCTGAACTTTCACTGCAAGAATTAGGAGAAAAACCAAGGGGTTGCTGGAGTTAGAGGAGATGATGCTTAACCACCGCTGCTTCTTCCTCACAGATGGAGATGATTTTTTTTTTCTTTCCCTCTGGCTCTCACGAAAAAACTGGTTCTCTACTGTGCCACCATCATCCTCATCAGGAGATGTTTAATTTGTATCTGGTTACAGGAGAGCTGATGGTAGGTTAAATTAAAAGATTGAGGTAATACACAAAAATCTAGGGGGATTTGTTTTGAGGATGATGGAGCAAGGAAAGTTGAAAAGAATTTAAGAGGTTGTGCTGTTAGGTCACATTGAATCAGCTCCAACGCAAGTCACCCCACACTGGACCCAACTTGACCGCAGTGAGTTTGCCTGCTGTTGGTTTAATTTGCTTTTAATTTTTTATTTAATTTTTGTCTCGTCAATGAAGAGACTGTCTATTTAGGGATGCCACAATTCATGACATGTTTTCTAACTTCGTGATTTCATGCCTGGTCAAAGCTGCTGCACACGCATTCGTGCGTATTAAAATCCTCGGTTAAGTTGCTTGTCTTAACGTAATTCCCTTCCAAACACAGGCTCCAGTATCCTTTCATTTTGAAATTCTCTATTTAATTCTAGGGAAATATGACAGCAGCATGGAATGAGGGGGAATATTTTAATTCAGAATACTGCACAGGTCCAGTCAGAAACCCAGGTGAAAGTGATTTTAACGATAGTTATTTTATGATTACTAATGATTAAATCTAGGTAATTGTGGTAAATCAGGTTTGTATGGTGGGTTTTGGGTTTTTTGATTTGTTTTGTTGTTGTTGTTGTTTTGTTTTCTGGTTGTTTCATTTTTTGTAAATCAGTTTTTTAGAAGGATCTGGAGTAGCATTAACAATAAGTGAGAGAGATATTACCTGTGATGATTCTTCAAGACTTCGTTTCTAACACTAACAAATTCTTCAGTGTTCTGTTCAACATGCTGGATATTGCATCTCAAGGCTCGATATTTGGCAAGAGAAGGTGGATTGGGTTTGGACAAATTAGTTTCACAGACATTCACCATGTCTCTTATTAGCTGTAGATAGAAATGGTACAGAAATGGTAGCTGTAGCATGCATCAAAATGAATATTAAAAAAAAAAAACAACCCTAAAATGCACATCAACACCTTATCCAAAAGTTTGGAAAAATACAGATTTTTAGGAAGCTTTTGATCAAGATTCACCTGTCGGTGGCATGTTATAGTTCATAAGGTTTCTCATAGCACATATACAATAAAGCAGTAACGCAGTTGTGGTATACATCGCCATAACACATCAGTGAGATTGCTTTCAAATGCATCATTTAATCCTCACACTGCGAAGTCGGTCTAATTATCCTCATTGTGTTACTGTGTACCATCGAGTTGGAACAGACTCATAGTAGACTCTAGAGGATTTTCAGAGTCTAAACTGCATAGGAGGAGACTTCTCATCTCTTAGAGCAGCTGGTGTATTTGAATTGCCTGCCTTTGAGTTGGCAGCACAATTCTTTATCCACGAGGTGACCAGAGATCCTGATTGTCGTCGTACAAGTGAAGAAAGTGAGCTCTGAGAAGTTCAATCAATTGCTCAAGATGTGACAGCTAGCAGTGCACAGGGACTAGATCAAGTCTTTGACTTCCTGTTCAGAATTTACCTTCTCCCCCAGATACAGTGTCAAAATCTACATTTCAACAACATCTCGAGGTGATGTTTCTAGATCTCCGTTCTTACAAGCAAAAGAGTCAGTGAAGCAGGGTACTAGTCAGTTTCCTGCCAGAGTTGAAAGTACTGGTGTCCTTCTCATCTTGGAGTTGTTAGGGACCCGTGAGTCCGAACAACTCAGAGCAACTCTGGGAACATCAGATCTGAACCTGTCCTATCCTGTGTCTTCTTTGTCATCCCTGCCACATCAGAGCCCATTGTTATAGTCACAGTGTCAATCCATCTCCTTAAAAGTCTTCCAATCTTCGCTGATCTCCCACTTTCCCAAGCATGATGTCTTTCCCCAAGGACAACTCCAAACAACATGTCCCAAATATGTGAGACAAAGTTTCACCACCCTTCCCTCCAAAGATCACTCTCTCTAAGACACCTTGGTTCACTCTCTTGGCAGTCCATGGGATATTTAATGCCTTCTCCCACCCACGAAAGCATTGATTATTCTTCTTTTGTCTTTATTCACTGTTCAACTCTCAAATACGTAGCAAATAACTGAAAAGGCCATGGCTTGGATCAGGCTGGGTACAGTCAACACACCATCTTCACCTAACCTCGGAGTAGGGAGGACCTTTCTAATGACAACTCAAAACTCACCAGCCTTAAAATAAAAGACTGATGCATGTTACAAAAGGGTGCGGGGGAAGGCCTGGCAGAAAGAAAAAAGTCAACCAACAATGAAAACACAAAAATGCCGGAAGTGAAAAGACAGAAACTAGGAAGAATATTTGAGACTTAGCTCATTTACCACAATGCTTGCTAACATATCGGCTCTTCCCCAATTGTATTTTTAGTGTCATTTAATCTTTTAACACTTACTAGAAAATGTTCTAATAATATTCTCAAGGTTTTCACTGGCCAGTTTCCCCTGGAGTAGATCACCAATCCTATTCTCTTGCCTGCCTTAGTCCAGAAACTCTACTAAAACATATCAACTCTGGACTGAACATACCTACTATGCCTTTGAAATACCAGCGGCATACTTTTCAATATGACAGCAACACACACAGCACAACAGACTTGCAGATGAAGGGTGGAATCTCTTCCTGTTGAGAATACAACTTACAGATCTTCCCCAAAGCCTCTAGCTTTCAAAAATGGTTTGATCTCGATCTCTGTACACAACTTGAGAGACGAATTCTTTTTTCTTTTTTTAAATTTATTATTTTTGTGTGTATATACTGTCAAATCGGATCTGACTGGTACAGGAGGAGATTGTCCTGAGAGACAACTTCTGAGATTCAGTGTTATCTTATTTATCAGAGTAAGACTCCTAATTAAATTGAGTTATATACTTCAGAAATTTACCTGGCTTATTTATCAGATTAAGACTTCTAATTAAATTGAGTTATATACTTCAGATATTTACCTGGCAGAGGTCTTCTTTCTGAGATAACAGTCTCAGGTTAACATCTTCCCGATTTTTATCTTTGTGAGGTATTAATCGGTAGAATTCATTCATCATCTTTTGCAGCTGTTCTTCTGTTTCTCCATTCTTCAGTGCTGTCTTTACTAGAAGGAGAATACCCTCTGCCTTGCTTACCTTCAGGCATAAAGCAACAGACAATTATTAAAATTATACCAGAGAAAAAGTGAAGGGGTACGTAGAAAAAAATCTAAAAGAGGTATTAGATGTAAATGTTAGATATTTTACAACTATCAATTTCCTATTGGAATTTATTAAAAAAAAACTAATGCTGATCTTTACTGTAAACGTGTCTCAATTGTGAAGGTTAAGTTATTAGGACTCTTCCAAAACTAGACTTGGCTTATGTAAAAAACCCAGCAAAATTCTTATGTGTCCATACATAGAGAGTTTATCTATATTCTAGATACAGAGAAGATAATGTTACTGCAACTGTAGAGACTTACTTTTAACATCAGCATAAAACTAAAAACAAAAAAAGCTCTGGGACATGTTTCTAGTTACATAAATACTTAGGAGCTTTAAACCTAGGAAATTTCTACCTCTGTGAAACAAATCTGTTTAACATCATGTAAGAAAATTGGCTGTAGTATTTTAATGTCAATGCAGTTGTACAAGATGTGCAATTGAGAATGGCTTTTTTAAATTTCCTTTTTCCATTGTAATTGGCCATAATTAAGAAGGTGAGAGTATTTTCTGGCGGGATGGCAGCAACCCTGCCTTTCCCTGAGAGAGTCAGAAGTTACTAGGGTCAAAAAGTATTCGACTCCAATAGTAATTATTAAAAAGGCTAAGCTTTGGGCCTTAACCAATAATCAAGACCACTCACAACTCTCAGGTCTGTTTCTAATCTCCTGACCTAGTGGATCAAGAATGGTAACTGTTGTTGGGTGCCATCGAGTCGATTACATCTCATAGAAAGCCTCTGAAGAGATCTGAACCTCCCAGTGAAAAGTGGCCTTTGAGTAGCTCTTGCATCTGAAAGCAAGTCTAGTTTTCTGGAGTGTTCATTTTCCTCTCACTGTTCTGTAAGCTTCTTTTTCCAGACTATGAGGAAGGACAGTCAACTATCAAGTCTATCTGACCAGCACCGAAACGTAGTGTTATTATTCAACCCAGGAGGCAGGTACATCATGTGAGAGGCTGGGTTTCAAGGATGCACATACTTACATCATTGAGACTAATTCTGTTCACTGGCTTGAGAAGCATGTGCTCCAGATGGCCGAGAGCTTCCGCCCAAATCATCTCCACCAAATCACTGACCTCTTGACTCGGAGGACTGGAGCTGATTACCTCCTCCAAAAGCAACTGCGGCACCAAAAACCCCAAAGTTACCATAAGTGAGGGAGTGTAAGTCTAAGATGGGCTGACGAGAAGTGTGAGGAGAAAGAACTGTAGGAAAGTGTCACCTCAACCAAGAAATGGTTCCTCCATTAGGTCTTCCCTTACTCTCACCTCTAATCCCCCCACTCTCTTTTCCATTTCATTTTCACCTTGCCTTTTGCCTTCATCCTTCACTCTGCCCGTGTGAATCCTGCCGTGGCATTCAATGCAAACAGAGTGTGATGCTGATAACTGCGGAATGTCAAGGATTACCAGGGGAAAACCCCACAAATTGACCTGAGAAGAAATACAACCAGCATGTTCCTTAGAAACAAGGACAGGGAAAGTCACTTTTGTTGGACATAGTATCAGAAAAGAACAATTACTAGAAAAGAACGTCCTTGCAGGGAAAGTGGGGGTTTGCTGAAAGTCATTACACAAGAAGTACCTTTGAGAATGGCTCCTTTAATGTGCCCTTTCAATTGTAATTAGACACAATTAAGAAGGCAAGAGCCTGTTTTGGTGAGTTAGAAGCACATCTGCCTTTCCTTACGATGTTCAGAAGTCATAAGACTCTAAAAGTACTTTGCTATGAAAAAAAGGCACATTATATAAAACCAAGGATAAAGGGGACATTTTTGTGGGAAGCATAACAGAGTGAAATATTACATACAAAGGATCCTTGATAAGAATAAGGGTCAGAATATATTCAGAAATGATACAGGCAAGAAGGCAGGAGGCACCACAACAAGACAGAGGTAAACAACCCAACTGAAAAATAGGCACAGGATATGAACAGACCCTTCACCAAAGAAGACATTCAGATGGTGAACAAGCACATGAAGAAATATTCAAAATCCCTAGCTCTAAGAGAGATGCAAATCAAAACAACTATGCAATAAACATAGTGTGCATATATCTGCTTGGGGGGCAGTTATGGTCTCTTTATTCCCAGTAGAGGAATTGCTGGGTCAAATGGTATCTTTATTTGCAACTTTTTGAGAACGTGCCATACAGCCTTCCACAGTGGTTGCACCATTTTACACACCCACCAAGAGTGCATAAGGGTTCCAGTTTCTCCACAACCTCGCCAGCATTTGATGTTTGCTGCTCTGTTAAATTTTGCTCTTCTTACTGGGGTGAAATGATCTCATAGTTGTTTTAAGAAATGGTCTTTTTTTTTTTTAAAGAAAAATTGACCTATGATTATGCTGGTCGTAACTTTGTGTCTCTCTTAGGCATAATGACACAAATGAAAGTAAATGGATTATTAGCAGCCAAATTCTCTCAAGAATTCACTGCCTCATCAATGTGCTATACTAAGCAAAGCAATCTATAAATTCAGTGAGATTTCCATAGAAATACCAACAGCTTTCTTTAGAGAAATGGACAAGTCAATCATGAAGTTTATGTGGAAGTACAAGAAACTCAAAACTCCCACTTCCTGATTCCCATATAAACTACGAAGCCACAATAAAGTAAACAGTCTGTGAGAGTGTAATAATAGATATATGAACCAATGGGATAGGACTGATAGTCCAGAAATAAACTCATATATCTATGGTCAACATTTTTTCAAAAGTGTGACAAAGCCATTCAACGGGGAAGAAAGGAGCTCTTCACTTAACGGTGCTGGGAAAAGTGATTTCCACACACAGAAAAATGAAACAGGATCCATGCCTTACATCATAAACAAAAATAAACTCAAACTGGATCAAAGGCATAAATAGGAAAACCAGAGCCATAAAATTCCTGGGGGAAAAATACAGGAGTGTGGATGCAAGGGCCAGCTATTGGGCTGTGTATTGGATGTGATGACAAAATCACAGAGAGCAAAAGGTTAAGTAGATAAACAAGATATAAGGAAATTTTTACTCATCAAAAAAGATTTTAATCATCAGAGGACTTTATCAAAGAAGTGACAAGAGAGCTATATGCTAGAAAAACTGGGGAGAAATATGTATCTGACAAAGGTCTAATATCTTGCTGCAGTAAAAGGTTCACTCTGTTAGAAGTGAAGGCAGGGGGAGCTCTGGTGGCCTAGTGGCAAGAAGCTGCACTGCAATCCCAGAGGAACACGGTTCGAATCCACCAGATGCTCTGCCGGAAAAGGAGGCGCAATATCCTCCTGTACCAGTCAGATCTGATTTGATGGTACACGCACACAAAATAATAAAAAATAAAAAAAAAAGAAGTGAAGACAAAGAACTTTATTGAAAAGTAGTTGTTGTTGGTGATGTTGTTGTTAGGTGCCATCAAGATGAGTATGACTCATAGCGACCCTATAAACAAGAGATCTGAACCCTGTCCTATCCTGTGCCATCCTCACACTTCCTGACACACTAGAGCCTGTTGCAGCAGTCACTGTGTCAATCCACCTGGGTGAGGGTCTTCTTCTCCTTCACCAAGCCTCTGCCTTTCTGAGTGTTCAACAGGGAAGAAAGGAGCTCTTCAATAAATGGTGCTGGGAAAAGTGATTTCAAAAGTGAAAAGTAAAGAGGTTCATAAATCAGGAGACACACCAGTCCTCAGGTGGGTGGGGCAGAGTTTACCAGGCGGAGTCATCAAAGGGCTCCATGCTCACAGGCACAGGGGGCACCTGACAGAAAGTTACAAGGGGCTGTAAACCCTCTCAACGTTATCATTTCTATTTCCTAACCTCCTGGACAGGTTAGCCAAGGGATTATTCTTGGATCAAACTGTATACACTCTCAACAAACATCTTTTAAGAAGATGATTATTTTTTTGTTCAAGGGGAAATCTTCCCTCTTGCTCCTTTTGAGTTACGAGGAGTTCAACTTTTACAAGAAGTCTCTGAGGTGCCTCTTCAGGGCAGCCGAAGCAGAGATTTTAGGCCAAGATACAGTTTGGTTCAAAATGAAGTTTAATTTTTATTTCATCAGAGAGGATATTCAAGTAGCTGAGTAGCTGATAAGAACATAAAAAAAGATGTTCAATGCCATTCACCAATAACCAAAAGATAAATTCAAATCAAAACCACAATGAGATAGCACCTCTTCCCTATAAGATGTGCAAAGATAAAAACACAAACCTGGGATGCAAATGGACACCTGTCCACAAATGCTCACTGCAGCACTTTTCAACACAGAAAATAAAGTAGAAACAAGGGGAGCTCTGGTGGCCTAGTGGCAAGGAGCTGCAACTACAATCCCAGAGGCACACGGTTCGAATCCACCAGATGCTCTGCCAGGAAAGGAGGGGCAATATCCTCCTGTACCAGTCAGATCTGATTTGACGGTACACGCACACAAAATAATAAAAAAAAAAAAAAATAAAGTAGAAGCAACATAAATATTCATGAGCAGAGAATCAGATAAAATGTGGCATAGCCAGACAATGGAATACTGCTCAGCCATAAAGAGACATGAAATTCAGGCGCACGTAATACCATGGATGAACCATGAGAACATCACATTGGGCCAAATAGGTCGGTCACATAAGGATGAGCATTCCATTGTCTCACTTACATGGAATAATATACAGAAACAAAAAAGTATTAGAGGTAAAAGGAAGGAGGTAAAGTGATAGTATTGGTTTAGGATCAGTGAGAATTTGTATTAATGGTGGGGGGCAATTTGGTAGAAGGTAGCAAAAATGTTCGGAGAACTTAAGGATACGTGTGAAGAATTTGTTGAACAGGCTTACGTTTCATCATAGATACTTTTACTATTAGAGCAAATAACCCACTAAGTCTAAGTAACACACATTATTATGACCAGAAGAACAAACACACAGAAGTCAATCTTACCGCTTGCAGTTTTTCAGATGCTAATTGGGTTGCTTCCGGTGTAAAACTGTCTCTCAGCAGAAATCCTTGTTCCTTCAGCTCTTCAATGAACTTGTCATAGTGGTCACATGCATCTGCAGAAGTTTTTTTCCCAAAGAGTTGTCTTCTAGTCTGTAAATTACAGGACGGGTTGAAAGGTTATGAATGCACTAATGTGACTAATATGTCAGTCTTTACAGAGCACCCACTGTGTGCCAAAGGGGAAATGGAAATAAGATCACTGCTATGAATGAATTTTAAAAAATTAGGTGGTGGTTGGAAGATTTTTTCCAAATATTTACTTAAATCTTTAATTCTTTAAAAAATATTCTAAAACTGGTGCAACCACTGTGGAAGGCAGTATGGTGCTTTCTCAAAAAGTTGCAAACAGAGATACCACTTGACCCAGCAATTCCACTACTGGGAATATATCCCAAAGAGACCATAACTGACATCCAAGCAGATATATGCACACCCATGTTTATCACAGCTCTGTTCACAGTAGTAAGGAGTTGGAAACAAACCCAGGTGCCCATCAACAAACGAATGGACAGAGAAGCTGTAGTATATTCACACAATGGAATACTTCACTGCATTGAAAAACAAGGAACTCATGCAATATTATTCAAAATGGGTGACCCTGGAGGACATTATGCTGAGTGAAATATCTCAGTCGCAAAAGGACAAATGGTGCCACTGCTGTAAAATGGGACTGATATCAGGGTGGGGGTAAGACTGAGAAAAACTGGAAAAATTGTGTATACTGCACTGAAACAGATGAGGGACTGAATAATTTAAAAGCCATGTATGATAGGGTATTATGGTTATCACAAGAGTCCACAATTTAGGTTGCATAGTGGAATGTACTTGGGGCGGTGGGAGGGGTGTGGGGGGATTGTGTTCCAGAGAGGGAGTCTTTCTTTTACTTTTGAAAGAGAGGAGCGAACTGGGGGGTGGGGGGAGAGGGCTGGGCGGGTAGAGAAGTGCAGCAATGAATGAATGGAAATCCAAATTCTCTGAAAATGTTCATTAAAATTATTAAAAAAAAAGGACAAAAAATAGTCTAAAACCTAGAAGCAGTCTCAAGCAGACATAACAGTAGAAGGGAGAAGACCCTTGATGTGTTGAACACATTCGGACTTCTTTTTGTTCAGAACCTACTTCTTCTTACTACACCTAGCAAACACCCCAGTAAGCTTTGAAGTCTGTGTTTCTAATTTTTTGAAAATGAGAAAAGCAAATCTGAAGAGAAGGAAAAGTGCTTCCAAAAGGTGTTACTATGACAAGTATTTGGTAAAAAAAGAATATAAAGAAAAGGCACCAAGCCTGATAAACACATACTGCACCCCTGAAAATGTATGGATTGAGCTGTGTCTTCTCTCCCAGATTCATACATGAAATGATACAGTGTGGAAGCCATGTAATGATCTGCATGATCCGATAAACCAGAAAGTTGTAAAAGGGTTAAGGAATGTGGTACCCCATAATCCCCTCACAGCCTGGATCTCAAGTAAGGGCTGTTTTCCTAGAGTGTAGCCTGTAACAAACACCTTTTGTCCCCAAGGCATGAAAAGAAAGGAAACTTGGAACAAGGAATTCAGGACTACTGAAAAAGAATTGCCAGGAGTGGAGTTCACCCTTTAGGACCCAGGTTCCTTCTTGAAGAAGCTCCTTTGCCATACTGAAATCTCCAAGGAACATGAGGCCTACAGATATGGAAAAAATAAGGACCTTCCTCCAGAAACAACCCAGAGAGAACTTCCCAGAGAGCAGGCCCTTGAAATGTAAACTTCCAGCCTCCTAAACTCTACCACAGCAAATTTCTGTTTGTTAAAGCTATCTCCTTGTGACGCCTCTGTTATAGCAGTAACAGATAACTAAGATCTAGACACCCAGACAGCTCACTCCTCTGTCCTCCATTGTTCCAGCCTGCCTAGGGAGGTGGCATTCCTTGCTCTTTGGAAACCACTCCCTCATACATGGTCAAGGGTCCTTGTATTAAGCCCAGGGAAGATGATTCTTGCTGTGAAGCTCAACAGGTACTATGCCAAGCTACTCGTGACCTGACAAAGTGTGAAGACTGCCTTTACAGGTCAGGAACGAGAGTTACTTTATTACCAAGTTTTCCACTTAGAAGGAGAATGAGCTTGATTTTTTAAAATATTTTAATCAAAATGGCTGAATAAAGGAGAGAGCAGGCTAGAAAACCTTCCTCTGCACAACAAGCCTCCCACAGTAGTTAGGGGAGAACGGCTCTCCTCAAGGTACCCAGGACCCTCCTTTCTGGCTGGTCTCCCAGAAAAGGCTCCACTTGAATTCTACACCACCCAGGAGGCTCTGTTCCATTAAGTCTGAAGGGACGTGATGACTTGAGGAGCCCACAGTTTAGTTTTTTAATGAAAAATAAAACAAAACAAAACAAAACAACAAACAAACCTCTAACCTACTACATTTTATATTCTGTCAATTTATATTTTTCAACTTAATATATATTTACTTGTGTGTTAAGTGAAATGCTTTTAGAGATATAAATATAAAAATATTTCACAAGTGATTTGGCCACAACTAAATGCTTCACAAACTATAACATATATATTTTAAGTTTCTATTTTTTATGATTTGAAGTCAAAGTTTATAAAACTGGTTTTTCACACACATTTTGTTTTATAACAATGACAATACTCAGATTGTCATCACACTTCCCAGTTCCTCCCTATAATTCTGATTTCCACTAATCCTTCTATTCTACCCCTTCCTGATTTCAGAGCTTTATCATTGGGCAAATACAGCACTTTTGATTTTACGTGACTGGTTATTTTAAGGATTGAGTGCCTCTGTGGTGTTAGGATTCACCTTCTCATTCACTTACTCACTCACTGATTTCCAGTCAGAAGTGATTCATCACTGACCCTCCACAGAGTTTTTTGAAGCTATAAATTGCATGAGAGGAAAATTCCCACAGCCTGGGTAAAAAGTTAACAGAATCCTTTTTCTCTGCACAAATATGACTGCAGATTGATTCTCTAGCTCTGACGCAAGAGAAATCTGATAAAGAAGAAATGTCAGCTTAGTAGTAGGTGAAGCTGCGAAGGTGACCTCTTGGTAAAGTGCACTTGGACTTGGAGTTCAATAAGTGAATGATACACATTTAGTGGGGAGCCTTGTTGTTATGGGCTGGAACAAACTCATAGATGACCCTCCAGCAGGTTCTCAGCAGCTATAAATCATACCAGAACTCGCTAGTGGGGAGCCTTAATTGTGGGTTTTCCTGAGAACAATGACTTCCAACTGGGCATGCCCCTGTGAGGGCATCTCAACCATGTGGATATTACAAGGGATGCAGGCTTCTATAGGACAGGACTTGCAAATCAGGCTAGATCCTCTACCGGATCTACCGGATGTGAGTCTCCAGCCTGTCCACCTGGATTAATACCTGGATCAGAAGTCTACATGAACTGTTGTGAGGACCAATGACTCCTTGCCAGAGTAAGGGGCTTCCTGGCCCAGATACTTCTAAGGCCAGCATGCAGCGTTTTAGCTATACTCTGAATAGTAATTCTGAATCTATTTCCTCATCATTTGAGAGGGAACTTTGGTGGTTTAGTGGGTAGGAAGCTACACTATCAACACAAAGGCAGGCAGTTTGAATCCATGAGATGCTCTCTGGGAGAAAGATGGGCCATTCTTCTCTGATGTGATTTATAGCCTTTGAAAACCAGTGGGGGTAGGGCGGCCGTTAGATAAAAGTTGATTCCAATTGGACAGCACAGAACGAGGGGGAAAAATTATGTTGAAGTACAACCATGTTCTTGATTTGACATTTTCAAAGCATTCTTTGAAAGCATATTTGACTCCCTGAGCCCATAATTGCTTTACATAAATTTCAGGATCATCAGTGCCTCTCACAACGGACTGAAATGATAAATGCTTTCTTTTCATTCAGGTGGCAATTTCTGAAGGTCAGGGTGCAACATATTTTTTTTTGGATGCTGGCTCCTATTGTTTGGCATGTGACAGATGGTGAATGCAGCATGTTCTGTGAAATGCTTCAAGAGATAGTTCACAAGGGATTTGAAAATTGAACAGAAACCCTCTTACAGCTTGCATCCCATGGAATGATTTTCTATGGAAACTGTCCTGCTCTCCTGGTCTGCAATGTTTTAGAAAAGAACACATGTTCAAGTAAACTAACTGGTTTGTTCATGGCCCACAGTTAAGGAACCTTATTAGAGACATGCTGGACAAGCACACAGGAATGAATATAAAGGTCAGAACCTCGATGCCGTTGACCAGGAGGAAACACGCGCTGATCAGAAATGGCCACTCCCCGCCTCCCTGGACGCACTGCAGCTCGACCACCACGATGTCCTTCTTGCCTTCTGTCCCAGTCTGGAATAAAGACAGTCTTTTAGCGACTGCACAACTGTGGACTGTACAAGTAATGCATGATCATTTGGGGATGTAATTTAAAAAAATAAACTTGAAAAACTAAAATCACCTGATATGGTATATATATATAAAAGAGCTTTTGTCCAATCTGCCATTTTAAAATATAAGACACTGTTAATTATAGGTAGAAATTTTATTTTTATTGCTACATTAATTATCTGTACTAGTTAAATTTTATTATGAGGATACATTACTTTTATAATAAAGTAGTTACAAATAGATATTAATTAAAATGTAAGCATTTTCTTGACTTAAAAGCAACTCACAAGGAACTATTATGCATAATACATGTAAATTTTCTAAACAAAAAATTATTGAATAAGGAAAAAAATCAGATTTTTTTTTTAAATCAGATTTTTTGTTGTTCTTTCCTCCCAAATAGATATTGGACACTTACTTTTAACAAGGTGTTATATTTTGCAACTTCAAATTCTTGAGGAATTTCATCATTTTCAGTAAAAACCCTGAAATATGTATAATTAAAATTTTAGACATAAAGCATATTTTTAAACCAAACAGAACTTCCACAAATTTTTTTTTCTTAACAGTCTAACTCCTTACAAATACACCACACGCTTTTGTCTAGTGCGACCTCTCAGGCGCTCGACAGTCAAATGAGCTGTCCTTTGCTGCAGCAGGATTCCAGAGCTCTGCTTCTAAGCAGAGGGGCTGCCTGCACTGGGGGCCACCTGCACTGGGCAGAGGGAGTGCACAGAGTTCATCAGGAGATCCAAAAGCAAAGGGACAAGCGGGCCTGTATGTGCAGCAGGCTCTGGTCTACAGATACAACATGGCTATAAACAAGCCACCCCCCTAGACAGCCGTGATCACCAGACCACAGCCAAATTCCCTTAAAAAGTATTGAATTGGAATTCTCATCATTTGTTGTGTTGTTGTTATGTGCCATCGAGTCGCTTGCGACTTATAGTGACCCTATGTACAACAGCCCTAAATGCTGCTCTGTCCTGTGCCAATCGCACTGTCTCTGACACTCCCATCCCGATTATCCCAGTCACTGAATCAATCCACCTCATAGAGGGCCTTCCTCTCCTGCGCTGTCCCTCCACCTTCCCAAGCATGATGTCCTTCTCCAAGGACCGGTCTCTCCTCACAACATGTCCAAAGTATGTTAGATGGAGCCTAAGAATCCTTGCCTCCAAGGAGCCACCCGGTTTAAACCTTTCCAGGACAAATCTATTTGTTTTCCTAGCAGTCCATGGTATTCTCAATACTCTTCTCCGGCACCACAGCTCAAAGGCATCAATTCTCCTTCTATCCTCCTTGGTCATTGTTCCACTCTCTGATGCGAAGTGATTGCGAAGACCATGGCCTGTATCAGACGCACCTTAGTCTCCAGAGAGACACCATTGCTCTTCAGTACTTTGGAGAGGTCCCTAACAGCAGACTTTCCCATTGCAATGCGCCTTTTAATTTCCTGGCTGCTGGTGAATCATTTACACTTAAAAAAATTATTTTTCTCTTTTAATACTACTATTAACAAATCAGAGAGATCTGGTGCATAATTCATAGCAAATTAGCTGGTGATATCTGGCCCAGTGGCAAGAAACTGAGCTGCAATCCCAAAGGCACGTGGTTCAAGTCCACTAGCTGCTCTGCAGGAGAAGGATGGACAATGTCCTCCCGTGCAATTAACTGCCTCTGAAAACCCATCAGCTATGGGTTGGTTCCAACTCTATGGTACATAATAACAACATATCCCATGGACTGTCAAAAGAACAAACAGATAAATCTTGAGAAAAGCACAGTGAATCTACCTTTTTGAGGGTCTTCCTCTCTTTTGCTGATCCTTTGCTTTTCCAAACATGGTATCTTTTCCCAAGGGCTAGTACCTCTTGACAACATGCTTAAAGCATGCAAGTGAGACATAGTCTCATAGCCTTGCCTCTGATGAGTGCCCTGGTTGTCCTTCCTCCAAGACAGACTTAACAGTAATGATATTATTTAATAGATTTAATAATAATTAAAGTAAAATCTTAAATAATGACGAATTCATAAAAATAGATATGCAAAAGTAAATGAAAATACTTTTTACAAAGCCAACTGATAATGTATAAAGAGTATTTTAATGCTATGTTTGAGGTTTCAAATGAATTTGCAAACTCTTCATAGCACTCAGAAAAAAAGATTACTTGGTGAGTTCCATCGTGTTCTCCTCTGGGGAACTGTCCAGCGATGGTGCATCTGTGTTCATTTCTAGAATTAAAACAAAACAAAACAAAAAAACACTTGTTTGCCAATCAAAGACTTTCTTTAGTTAGTAAATAATGGCTAGCATTATTATGGGTTTTGAATATGGATTAACCACATATGTGTGTGTGTCTGTAAATTAGTGGTATTGTAGCTGTTGTTGTGTACCTTGGGGTCTAATTCAACTTAGTGAGCCCACAGAATGGAGAACTGCTCCACAGGCTTTTCTTGGCTGTAATCTTTACACAAGCAGCTTGCTGGGTTGGTTCAAACCACCAACCTTTTGGTTAGCGGTTGAGCACTTAACTGTTGCACCAAGGCATCTTAAATTCATTACAAAATTCTCTGCCATCAAGTTGATTCTAACTCATTGCAACCTCCACTAGGCTTCTAAGGCTGGAAATATTTATGAAAGAAGACTGCCCATCTCCCACAGAACAGCTGGTAGATTCGAACCCCCAAGCTTGCTAATCTAGTTAGCAGCACAACTTGCAATTAACTACAACCACCAAAAACTACTTAAAAGAGTTATGTTGTTAGGGGCCGATGAATCAACCGTGACTCACAGAGATGCTATGAACAGCAGATCTGAACGTCGCTCTGCCCTGCCCTGTCCTCATGATGCTCAAACTCATCGCTGAAGTCACTGCGTCACTCTGTCTTATTCAAAATCTTCCTGTCTTTCACTGACTCTCTACCTTTCCCAGCGTGACTGCTCTCTCCAAGGACTGGTTCCTCCTGAACGTTACTTATATTACCTTTGTATTACCAGTAACTAGAAGTGACAAAAGAGAAAAGATGAAGAGAAAAAGGGAGAATTCTATTTTACTTTTTTAAAAAATTATTTTTTTTCTTTTTTTTGTGTGTACTGTCAAATCAGAGCTGACGGTACAGGAGAAGATAGCCCCTCCTTCTCCAGCAGGGCATCTGGTGGATTTGAACTGTGAACATCTTGGATTGCACTGCAGCTTCTTGCCACTAGGCCACTAGAGCTCCCTTTAGAATTCTATTTTTTTTTTAAATTTTATTTTATTATTTTTGTGTGAGTGTACCGTCAAATCAGATCTGACTGGTACAGGAGGAGATTGTCCCTCCTTCCCCGGCAGAGCATCTGGTGGATTTGAACCGTGCGCCTCTGGGATTGTAGTTGCAGCTCCTTACCACTAGGCCACCAGAGCTCCCCTTAGAATTCTATTTTAATAAATAAACAAGGGAAATTTCCACTGCCATCTGTTTCATTCGACACTTACTGATAAACAAAAGTTTTTGAGTGGCATTTTCCTCTGTAAAGATTGTAAGATGTAGTGTGTGCGTTATGGGGTCAGAATGAGGTTCCCAGCACCAGGTCCAAAGAAGGAATCTGATGTTCCAGCTCAGAGAGGAGAATCTCAAGGGCTCCTATGGGATGCTGGACACTTTATATTTTCTTATCTACGGACAGCGCAGGAAAAGACGACCCTGGATGAGATGGACTGACACAGTGACTGGGGCAATGGAAGCAGGGTGTCAGCGACAGTAAGATTAGCTCAGAATAGAGCTATTGTGCATAGGGTCACTATGAGTCGCTGGCAACTCGACAGCACATAACAACAAGAACACAGCATTATGGGAACTCTAGTGGTGTAACAAAATGTATGGGATTGCTAACCAAAATGTCAGTGGTTCAAATCCAGCAGCCACTCTCCTGGACAAAGATGGACCATCTCCTATAAGACTTACAGCTTCAGAAACCTGACAGATGGGTCTCTCCAGATTAGTGTTGGAAGTAGGTTAAAGCATTATGGTAGACAGGGATAACTCTTATAATGCATAGCTTTTTAACAACACCATATTGATTTTAAATATTCTCAAAGTGGGTTTCGTAATTTTGAATCTGATTGCATGAGTCTGAATGTTGAAAAATAGGCTTATGAAACAGAATCTGGCATCATCCCCATTGTTCTCTTAGCAATGACACAGCAAGAAAGGATGATTAGAACAGCATCATTTCTAGGCAGATTATGTAACAGGCTTCACCACACATGTATACCACATGTCTACCATCAATGAACATTTGTCAGAACTGTGTGAAGCTTGATCCTGCCTGCGAGGAATCAATTTCCAGAAACCTTCATGGCCTGATTCCAAAGTGAAATTCACGTTTAGAAAAGCATCATGTTGCTCTTGGAGAAACTGCCTTTTAGAAAGAACTTCTCTTAGAAAATGTTAAAATCTCCATAGTCATCAAGTTGTGCTAATCATTTTTAAACAAAAGGTTTCTTTTCCTTCTGAGTTAGAATTACACCTCAAGGTTTCTGAGACAGGGTTTGTGTGGTCATTTTAAATCTGACCACTTGAGGCTGGATGCTGTGGAATCTACTTGTATTGCTGTTTCTGCTGTCTGTTTTCTGAGGTAATAAGAAGCCTGTTTACTTGTGTAGTATTTCTGAACAATCTTTTGTCTAACATCATGTCAACAAACAAAAATGTGTGTTACGCTCCCTTTGGGATTGGTTTTACCGATAGAATCTAGGTTTTTTTTGTCCTTTGTCACTGAGAGATAATCTGTGAAACTTCGTAACAGCAGTCTTCCAACTTCCTTTCTGAGCTCCCCATTTCAATTTTTCTTTCTTCCCTGTCCCTTCTTGACTTCTGGGCTTTGTCCTTGGGCAAATGTTGTTGTTGTTGTTGTTGTTATCTGACGTCAAGTCAACTGTGATGTCTTGTGCAATAGCTCTGAACCCTGCCCTGAGCCAATCTCATTGTCTCCTCCGAGAGACCTATCTCTATTATCTCAGTTACTGTGAGATACTTTTAGGCATGTTGCTAGGAGAGGCCATCTGTTGGAAAGTGATATGCTTGGAAAGTGGAAGGTCAGTGAAAGAGAGGAAGATCCCCAATGAGTTAGATTCACACAGTGACTGCAGGAATATGTAAGCAGAAGCCTCACCATCCTTGTTTCCAACGGGCATTCTGACTGTACTTTTTCCAAGACATAGCTGTTCTTTTTGGTTTTTTTTTGACAATCCATGAGATATCCATGAGTACTTTTCTCCAACACCACAAAGGTATCAATTCTTCTTCTGTCATTGCCCAGCTCTTAGATGTATTGCAAATGATTGAAAAGACCATGGCCTGAATCAGGCACACTTTAGTCTTCAAATTGATGTCATTTCGCTTTAGTATTTTGAAAAGGTCCCTGATATTGAACTTGCCCAATGCAATGTGTCTCCTGACTGCTGATACCAAGGGTGTTAACTGTGGATCCAAGTAAGATGAAATCATTGACAGTTTCCATCCTTTCTCCCTCTATGATGCTGACTATTGGTCTGCTGCCCAGGACCTCATGACCTGACATGGGTTGATAATATGAGATTGCTATCACAAAGTAGGTCATTTTGGCATGGTCAGGCCCCATCCACCATGAATCATGTGATCAGGAGTCTCATCAAAGAGCTTGGGTCTTGGGTCAACCTGGAGGACTGTGTACTCTACAACTTGGGAGGTTAAGGTGAAGGGGACCTAAGTGCAGGTGGTTAAGGTACAGGAAAAGTGCTGGCAGTGAAGCTGCTATCAGAACAGAACACGATTGTACTTATCCTTATAATTTGACATGAGAAGCCAAGTTGGATTTTTCCACAGGTCACCTATGATCAGTGTGTACCAGAAAACAACTACTTACCAGAACTGCTTTCCTTTTGACCAGATAGTATTGTGAGATCCACTGACTCATTGGGACTGTAATTCTTCACATCCAAGAGTCTCCTTTCCTTGATAGAGTCTCGTATAAAATCGGGGTTGACGATATGGATATGTTTTTCACGGACAGATTTCATCTGATATTGACTCAGAACATCAGCACTGTCTAAGACGATATGTGTACACTACGAATGAAAGAATCAATCCATTAGGCATTGGTAACAGACACATTTAATTAAATGATAGCTATAATCTTCACCCTTAGGAAGTCTGACAGTGGTTAACTTGTGCTAATTTTTCCAAGATGTTTAAATCTGTCATAATGTCTTCAAGATATTCAGTAGAAAAGTAAATACAGGAGATTGTGTACTGTATGCAAACTGCTATTTGTGGTTAAAAGTATTTGTATGAGAATATGGAAACAGGCCAAATGTCTAATCACAACTGAATAGAGTGAGAAATTGTGGTACATTCACACAATGGAATACTATGAAGCACTCAGGAGCAATGACTTTGAAAAATACAGTCTGTAGAGCATTATGCTGAGTGCAGTAACTCTGTCTCATAAGGACAAATACTACATAAAACCATTATTGTAAAAAGAGAAGGATAGCTAGTATAACATGTATGAGGACCAGAGGTGGGAAGAAGTGAGAGCAGAGGGGTGAGGATGGGTAGGGGTGAAACTACAGGGTTCCACAATTTGGTGGGTGGAGGGAGAGGATGAGGAAATAGGAAGGATTTGGTGGGGACACGAAAAGACAGGGTAACGATGGATAAGGTCCAGTGCCAATGGTGATTAATTTTATAAAAAAATAATTCAAGGAATGATTGTATGAAACACAATATGGATATGTGAATGAAGAATAGAGTGAAGCACAATGTATATGAACTTGTAAGCAAACAATATAAAATTTTTTTTAAAAAGTATTTTCATGTTTGTCTACACTTGGAATTTCTCTAGAGAGGCAGAGGAGGGAACGAATTTCAGCAGGTTCCTCTGGAGAGTGAAACTGGAAACCATGTTGGGGAGGAAGTTAAAATATTATTGTCATCATTTTATATTTTAATAGGGCTTTGTCCTTGGGCAAATGTTGTTGTTGTTGTTGTTGTTATGTGCCGTCGAGTCGTTTTCGACTCATAGCGACCCTATGCACAACAGCCCTAAACCCTGCTCTATCCTGCGCCAACCGCACTGCCTCTGACACACCCATCCCGATTACCCCAGTCACCGAATCAATCCATCTCATAGAGGGCCTTCCCCTCCTGCGCTGTATTTTTTTCTTTCTGTGTGTGTGTATCATCAAATCGGATCTGACTGGTACAGTAGGGGATTGTCCCTCCTTCCCTGGCAGAGCATCTGGTGGATTCGAGCCACTAACTTCTGTGATTGCAGCGCAGCCTCTTGCCACTAGTCCACGAGAACTCACTGCATGTATTAATTATTAATTATAAATAATATAAACTACAAAATAACTAATTGAAACAAATACTCAGGTGATCTTGCAAATAACTAAAATAGGTAGAAGAAAAAAACCCACACAGCAGTCTTCCCTCCAATGACCCACCTGGCCCAACTTCTGCGTATCTAAATAGAAATTAGTACCCTCTCCTGCTGCCAAATGCCCTCTGCCTTCTCCTCTTAGTATGACTTAGATTCCCATAATGCAAGATATTAATCATACAGTTCTTGTTAAATAGGCAAATACCTGAGGATTTACTGAAAAGGAAAACTTGCCACCATTTCCCTTAATATCTGTTTGTAGCTTTTTCTTCTGCTGACCAGGCAGGCATCTGACTTTCAAACAGAAGGTACAATTTGCAAAGATTCCCACAGTCATCCTGGAGAAAAAAGAAACAAACACAAATTTGAAGCCAAAGTTTTTCATGTCTCTTTTGTCTGTGAATCTGATTGACAATGGCTTTAAAATAGTTCAATATGCAAATTGTAGAAATAAGTATTATTTTTTTTAATTCATTTTCATGGAAGTTTACAGAGACTTAGGGTTTCCAGTCATTCCTTGTTGCACTTTTCTCCCTGCCCACCCCCTCCCCCAATTCACTCTTCTCCTTGAAAAGAAAAAGAAAAACTCTTTCATTGTTATACAATCCCTCCCCCAAAGTCCACTCCACTGTGCAGGCTTCACTCTGGAATTCTGTAATGACAAGAATACCCATACATATATCCCTTTTAAACAGTTCTCTCCCTCATGTGTTTCAATGCAATATACATCATTCCTCCCCTCCTTTTCTGTCTTCCCTCAACCCTGATGCCAGTCCTGTTTTCTGAGTGGCCCTATGCAATATTTGTCCTTTTGTGACTGAGATATTTCACTCAGCATAATGTCCTTCAGGGTCATCCATTTTGCATAATATTTCATGAGTTCCTTGTTTTTCAATGCTGCATAGTATTCCATTGTGTGACTATACCGGAACTGAACTTCTCTATCCATTTCTTTGTTGATGGGAGAAATAAGCATTATTTTTTAAAAAGTATTTTATTCATGTTATAATCACCAAAAAAGGAGCATCATTTATAGTATGTACATTACTTTTCCTTGTTCCTCTAGTGTTCATAGAGTTTTCAAAGGTCTGTTATTTAAGAAGGGAATGCTAATCCTGCTTCCTTGTCTGTCTTAATCTGGGAGCTCTACCAAACCCTGTCCACCATGGGTAACCCTTGTGGCATTTGACACACCAGTGGCACCATTTTAAATATCACAGCAACCTCAAGTTATCTTAGTACTGCAAACTGACAGACAAGTGCTGTGCCAGGAGGCTGTTGTGTGAACAGAATTGGGGAACACTGCACGGCTTAAAAATAAAAAGGGAGTGTCTCAGGTTGTATTCTCTCTCCATACCTATTTAATCTGTATGCTGAGCAAATTATTCGAGAAGCTGGGCTCTATGAAGAGGAATGAGGCATCAAGATCAGAGGGAGACTCATCAATAACCTGCATTATGCAGATGACACAACTTTGCTGGTTGAAAGTGAGGAGGACTTGAAGGACATGTTGCAGAACATCAAGGAATGAAGACTTCAGTATGGATTGCATCTCAATGTCAAGAGAACAAAGATTCTTAACACTGGACTGATAGGCAACATCATGACAGAAGGAGAAGAGATTGAAAACTGTAAGCAACTTCATCTTCTTGGATCCACAATTAACACTCTTGGTATCAGCAGTCAGGATTAAGGAGACACGTTGCACTGGGAAAATCTGCAGTTAGGGACCTCTCCAAATTATTGAGGAGTTATGATGTCAGTTTGAGGACCAAGGAACATCTGATTCAGGCCATAGTATTTATGATTACTTGCTATGCCTCTGAAAGCTAGACAATGAATAAGGATGACAGAAGAAATGATGTCTCTGAACTGTACTGGTGGAGAAGAGCACTAAACATTCCATAGATGGACAAAAGAACAAACAAATATATCTTGGGGAGGCTGCAGCTGGGAGTGCTCTTTGGAGGCAGGAATGATGAGACTTTGCCTCACATACTTTGGTCATGTTGCTGAGAGGGGCTATTCCTTGAAGAAGGACACTATGCTGGGAAGGGTGGAGGTTTAGCAAAGGAAAGGAAGACCCTCAACCAGGTGGATTAATGTGGTGACTGCCACAATGGGCTCTTGTGTATCAGGAGTGTGAGGATGGCACAGGATAGAACAGGGTTTATATCTTTTGTTCATAGGGTTGCTGTTGAGTCGTAATTAATTCAACAGCATCTAGCAACATTACTATTAGAATACTTTCAAGAAGCCAATAGTAGGAACCCAACCCACCCAACCCTGAGGTGGGAATGCAGCTTGCTTGGCCCCAAGTGGTAGGAACCTAGCCTACCAGGAACCAAAGCAACAGGAACGAAGCCTGCACAACCCCCAACAGAAGGAACCCAACCTGCCTGGCTCCAAGGCAGGAACTCAGCCTGCCCAGAACCCTAGTGGCAGGAAGAAAGAATTTAAATCATAAGTTAAAAAGTTAAATAACTTAAAAAACCGTCACAAGACAAAAAGAGTACAATCAAAACAGTACTGGAAACAATAGAAAAGCTTAAAAATGCAATCCAGAATAACAAGACCAATATTACATAAATGTTTAACATGTTAGAAGGACAAAAGAACAGGATAGAGGAGATGGAATAGCAAATCAGCAAGAAGACCCTCAAGCAGAATCTCTTAGAAGAAAAAGCAGGGATGAGATAAAAGGAAAATGAAAAAACCATAAGAATCATATGGGATGACAAACTAAATAGCTTATGTATGACTGGAATTCCAGAACAGGAGGGGGAAAAAGTTAAGAAAATTGTGAACAAGGTACTAAAAGAAAGCTTTCCTGATACCATGAAAATTGAGGAAATATGCATTCAAGAGGCTCACCAAGTACCAAATAGATTAGATACCTAAAGAAAAACATCAAGGCTCATCATAGTTAAATTCTCCAAAATCAAAGACAAAAATAAAATCATAAAAGCAGCTTGAGAAAACCAAAGAGAAGCCAAAATGGGGAACCAATTAGATTTACCTCTGAGTTTTTCAGCAGAAACCATGTCATTAAGCAGACAATGGTAGAGAAATAAAAAAAGGTCAAAGTAAAAAACTATTGCTGAGGACTCAGTACCCAGCACAACTGTCCATCAAGAATGAAGGGGAAATTAGGTCATTTGACAAGAAAGCAGGATAGTAAAGAATTGCTGAAAACAAGACTAACTTTACAAGAAATACTTAAGGAAGCCCTTCAGACAATGACAGCAAAGAAAGTAGATGGACCAAAGTAACCAGCAACAATAAAAAAAAAAAAAGGAATGCAGCAAAACAGCAACTATAAAGCTTACCCTGCAATCACACTGAACATAAACTGTTTAAATGCACTGATTAAGAGCAAAATAGTAGCAGACAAAAATCATTGATATGTTGCTTATAATAGACATATTTTCAAAACAAAAAGAAAGACAGCTTAAAATTAAAGAGGGGATGGAATACCAAGCAAATGACATCCATAAGAAAACAAGAGTAGCTATAGTAATCTCTGATAAAATAGACTTAAAGGTGAAAACCAACTAAAAGACAAGGAAGGACACTAAATAATGCTTAAAGACACAGTAGAAGAAGAGATAATCTCAGTTAATAACTATGCAACAAATGATAGACATGCAAAATATATAGAATAAATGTTAACAGATTAAGCAAAAAGAGAAACATCACAATAATAATAGGAGACATCAACACAAGATGAATCCTGTGCAACAAAGACGCAGAACTAAAATAAACAATTAGCCAACCTGACCTCATAGATGCATTTAAGGACTCAATTGATTTTCTTCTCAAGTGCACAGGGCACGTTTTCAAGAACTGAGCATATACTAGAGGGCAAAGCAAGCTTCAAAATGTAGCTTAAGACATGTAAATAATACAAATTATCTTCTCATACCTCAATGCCACAAAGCTGCTAATAAACATCAAGATAAAGGATAAATAACCACTCACGTGGAAGCTAAATAACACCCTGTTTGATCTTAACTGGATTAAAGAAGAAATAAAAAATAAAATTAAATGTTCTTTGAAATTAATGAAAATACAACATATCAAAAGCTCTGGGATACAGCAAAGGCTGTTCTCAGAGGTTTATTCATAGCAATAAGCAAACAGACATATAAAAAAAGAAGAAAGAAGTAAACCAACAACAAGCTAACCTCATGCCTCTGAAAGAAAGGTAATTATAAAGATAAGGGCAGAAATAAATGTTACAGAACCAGATGAAATTAAAACCTTAATAAAAGAATAGTATGAAAAGAATATCAAGGACTATAACCTTAGTGATGGATTGCATCTTAACATTAAGAAAACAGAAGTCTTCACGACAGGAGCAAAGGTCAATATTATGATAGATGAAGACAGCTTTGATCATTGAAGTTGTCACAACTATTTCATCTTGTTTAGATCAACAATCAACAATCAACAAACATCCATGGTACCAGGAGCCAGGAAATCAGGATATGTATTGCATTGGGCAAGTCTGTGTCTATCAGGAGCCAGGAAATCAGGAGATGTATTGCATTGGGCAAGTCTGTGTCTATCAGGAGCCAGGAAATCAGGAGATGTATTGCATTGGGCAAGTCTGTGTCAAGGACCTCTCCAGAATGCTGCAGAGCAACAATGTAAGTTTGAAGACTAAGGTGCACCTGATTCAGCCCATGGTCTTTTCAATCATCTGCTATGCATCAGAAAGCTGGACAATGAATAAGGATGACAGAAGAACTGATGCCTTTGATCTGTGGTGTTGGAGAAGAGTGCTGAGTATCCCATGGATGGCCAAAAAATAAAGATTAAGTTTTGGGGAAAAGTGCAGCCAGAGTGTTCCTTGGAGCAAAGATGGCAAAGCTTTATTTTTCATACTTTGGACCTGTAATTAGGTGAGGCTATTCCTTGGAAAAGGACATCATTCTTGGAAAGACGGAGGGTCAGGGAAAGAGTGGGAGACTCCCCAATGAGATGGATTGACATGGTAACTTTAGCAATGGATTCTAGTGTGTCAGAAATTATGAGGATGGCACAGGAGAGGGCAGAATTCTGGTCCGCTATCCACATGGTCTCTATCAGTTGTACGGGACTTGACAGCACCTAACAACAACATACTCCAACAGATTTGAAAACATAGAGGAAATGGAAAAATTCCTAGAAGACCACAACCTCCCCAAACTCAGAAGTGGAACACTTGATCCATCACAAAAGATAAAACTGAACAGGTCATAAATAAACTCCCAACAAAAAAGGCCCTGGCCCAGATGGCTTTACCAGTGAATTCTACAAAACATTCAGAGATAAACTCTCATCAATTCTATT